ACCTACGATGTCATGTTTTGATTAAAAGGTTACACTACACGTACGCCATTTGTATTTTATTTTTTACTATACAGGTATTAAGTTTTATGTAAGGTATAAAAAACAAAGCATTGAATATGATTACAGTTAAATAAAATGAAAACTGAAAAAAGTCAGCATTTTATTTTTAAAGTAATCTGCAAGTAATGACGCTAGTCAAGTTACACTCACACGTGGAGGTGAAATTCAGATCTCACGTAAAAATAACGTTTTGTATTTACTGTACAACAAAACAAAACATGATGATCACTGCTTACAAACTTGAAGATAAATGCAGCCCCAGACATTACAACTACATCAGGTCTGAGAAACTTGAGGGAGAGGGTACGTCATCGATGATATCACTGTGAGCTGGAAAGTTTCGGATTTTGAAGGTTTTCGGGTTTTGGAATTTCGGATAAAGGATTTTCAACCTGTACCTACAAACATTAGAGGTCCTGTACTGACCTCTAGTGGCAAATTGCAGTGACTGCAGTCCGTTGTTCAGCTGCCCAGCCACAATGGTCCTAATGCTCTGTCTGTGAACCATATCACTCTCACCAGCTGCCGCCTGTAACTCTGAACCCTGTGTGTTTCCAGGAGCTCACAAGAAGAGAGGTCATCAATGTCACTCACCTGGTCATCCCAGCGGAGCTGGGGGGGCTGCTGCAGGCTGTTGCAGGTCACCAACGTCTCCAATATCTTCCTTTTTTAATGCAGGATGTTTGATAGCCTGTTCTCACTTTCTGCAAACTCTTCCGAGCTGCTTCACTGCTGCAAAACCATAGGCATTCTCTGATCTCTGTTCTGATTCGGGTACTGTCACCAGAGGAAACAGCAGGGTGGTCTTGGGTTCAGTTGCTCTGAAACACTTCCTCAGTTAAGGCATGCAATAGGTGATCTTCTCTTTAGGTCACAACAATGCTTTGTGTTCATTAGGCCACAGAGATTAGTAGAAATTCAGAATAAAAAGAGGAATATACAATAAAGAGTAGAGGTGTGGGGAGCTTACTGGTGCATCATCCAGGTGGGGCTGCACACTGGTGGTGGTAGAGGGGAGTCCCCATTGCCTGTAAAGCGCTTTGTGTCCAGAACAGCACTATATATGTGTAATTATTATTATTGCTATGAATAGGAAGTGTTGTGTTTGTGCAAATTGTGAACTAAAAAAACTGTACAAGCAAGAACCCTTACAGTGACAATGAAATGAAAACTGGCCTGAGAGATGGACGTGCCTTTAGCTCTCATTATTATTGATTTTCATCTCGTTGGTTTGCATCTTAGCTGGTAAAGAACTGCACTCTGGTTGCCTGGCCCTGGTCCAAGCCCCAAAGATACCAACTGAGACCCAACTCACTCTGCCCCTAGACATCAACAACTACCCCATCTCCAAATACATTCAAGTCCATTTCCAGGTAAGGACATTCTCTCGTTTGCATGAATCTTTTTAAAGATTCAATTCTTGATTTAAAAGCATGCCGTATTGGAATTGTCTCCGCTGAATGAGCAAAGTGAAAGACTCCGAACATCTTTATCTCTGGAGAAAATGAAAAGTTGCATGAATTGCTTATACATCAGGTTATGTAAGATAAGATCACTTTATTGGCCATATACAATTTCTTACATTAGGAATTTGCCTTTTCGCATACCCCAGCTTGCTCTCCATGAGACACACAGACAGGGAGAGAAGCTTGGGGTCAGAGCACAGGGTCAGCCATTTATATGGCACCTTGCTCAGGGGCCCAACAGAGTAGGATTCCTCTGCCGACCACAGGATTTGAACCAGCAACCTTCCAGCCACAGGCGCAGATCCTTAGCCACAGTGCCACTGCTCCGTCCATGTTGACATTCCAGTCTGCTTCACAGAGGGCAGACTTCAGCACTCAAAGCCCCTCAGTAGAAAGCAGTGTGTGTGGACTATAGTCACAGCACTATCAATAGAGTTTCTGCAGATTCCTTATAGGTTACCTGTAAGTGGAAGGCAGGTGAAAGACCTACCCTCTGCCCCCACATATGACACACCCTGTCTTGATTTGCAGGAACCTCAGTTTGGAATGCTGACAGCTCCCCTGGATCACCCCCTAACCCACGTTGAAGAGGAGTTGAGACAGGAGGCTCTGAATGTCTTTATAATGGTAGGAGGACCATGCTATCAACATGCACATAAGTGTGTGTGTGTACTATATGCTAGATGATGAAAATCAGAATGAAAACAAAACATTATTAGATCTGAACATATTAAGGTCTGCGTCTATCAGAGGCTGCATGGCTATAGGAAAGAACAATATCATCACCATCAACCCATAAAACTCTAGTGAGATAATATCAGAGTGAAATAAGACTATATTTTAAAGGAATTAAGACTGATTGAAGGGACAGCATTTGTCAGATCTATCTTATTACTCTTTATAACATGCAGATATGCAGAGTGTAGGTAACATGCTTAGGTTCCCCAGTAGTTTAGAAAATTAAAGCAAATAATGATGAAGGAAATACGATTTGTTTTGCAAGAGGTAAAAATCCCTTGAAAAGGGCAGACAAACTGCTGTGGTGTACAAACGTGGACAGGATGAACCCCAAACCGACGTATGTGACGTGATTTTTCTGTTAAGGTTTTGCGGTTCATGGGGGACCCGCATCTTAACGGGGCCCAGGAGAACCTCTTTGGGAACTACATCCTCCAGAAGGGCCTGTCCATGCCTGAGCTGAGGGATGAGATCCTTTCCCAGATCGCCAATCAGGTCTGGAAGAACAGCAACACCGTCAATGCTGAGCGGGGCTGGCTCCTGCTGTCGGCCTGCCTGAGTGCGTTCGCACCTTCGTCAAAGCTGGAGAAGTACCTCCTGAAGTAAGACATGCCTGCCTTTCCTCTCTGGGCCTGGACACTGAATATTTCTGTGTAGGAAATGTTTATAGTAAGCCTTGAACATTGGTTAACATGCTCAAACTGAATTAGTCCCCAAGTGAATGGACGAAAGTTCAATAGTTCACCTGCCTATAATTATCTACCTATAGCTTATCCTCATACCTGTAAACAGACAGAATACTGGAGTCTCCAGGATTAACCTGAGTCTGTCTCTGGACTCAGCCGATGTTTGTACTCACTGTATGTGGCTGGTTGACCTGGAGCATGTGGGGAAATATCTTATAATTATATAATCTACACACTTCTTAAATTATATAATTACATTTTAGGCCTCTGTTGGAGTGAACTCCTGACCTGTAATTACCATAGCCCCACCACCAGGGGGCAGCACAAAGGCCATTTAAGAGGCTGGTGCTCACCTGAGATAAGATAAGTGATATAACATTAGCCGTATACAATTTCTTGCATTAGGAATCCGTCTTTTCGCATACCCCAGCTTGCCCTCCATGAGACACACAGACAGGGAGAGAAGCTTGGGGTCAGAGCACAGGGTCAGCCATTTATACAGCACCCCTGGACCAGCTGGGGTTCAGGGCCTTGCTCAGGGGCCCAACGGAGTAGGATTCCTGCTGGCCGCGCAATTTGAACCAGCAACCTTCCAGCCCCAGGCGCAGATCCTTAGCCACAGAGCCACCACTCCGCCCATGGCATCTGTCCCATAAATAGAGCACAGGAGAATCTGTGTGCCATCAATTGTATGTTGTTAATTGTATAAATGCAGGATGTTCATATGGTTTTTGATTTTATAAAAGGGTGTGCACTTCACTTGTTGTCTATACACTAGGTAGCAAACTAGATTTGACTTGAGCAGTAACATAGAATAGCTGTCAGAAAAACAGTGTATTGTTTTTAGCATAGTTAGGACCCAATAGAGTTTAGTGTTAATTTTGGTTTGTTTCCTTATCTTGAACCTGTGTAAAGTCAGGAAGTGGTCCTGGTTCCTTTGTTGTGTGTGGAGTGACATTATCCCACAGTCATGCTATCACACACTTCCTCAAATAGCAGTAGTGTTGTCCTTGAACCTTGAATATGCAACCTTGGTGGTGGTGGAGGGGAGTCCCCATTACCTGTAAAGCGCTTTGAGTGGAGTGTCCAGAAAAGCGCTATATAAGTGTAAGCAATTATTATTATTATTAGTAGTATTATTATTATTAACCTTCTGGTGAACAGTCCAGAGCCCTAACCATTATTCCACGCTGGTTGGGCTTTTTTTTGCTTCTCTCCTGCGAGACAAAAACTAGCCCAGATTGTGTTTCCTTATAAAGAACAATATTCTCCAATTCACACACATTGCACGGAAGGTTTCCATGGCAAACAAGCATGCGCTTTCGAAATTGGACTCCGATACGCAGGTGATCAAAATAGGCATGGAGGGTCTGAATCTACAGGTCCCTTCCATCCATCCCCTGCCAGTGACCTGTCTCAGATGAACAGATACATAAATAGAAGATGCTGTACCCAGTCTGGAGCTATCCCAGGAGTAATGTGGCTCTTCAGGTTCGTATTTCAAGTACATCCTCTTGAAAATGCACACATCAGTTCATCAGATGTACCTCTATTATTTTATCAGTCTGCTGTGCATGCATTCATTGTTGCCCTTCTAATAAGAAGGCTAGCTCAGTCCTGGCTTGGTTCCTTGCTGTGCAGGTATGTCTCAGACTATGCCTACAATGGCTACAAAGCTGTTTGCCAGCATAGGCTCATCCAGGCCATGCAGAAGTCCCAGTATGGCCCAGAGACAGCCAGAACCTACCCGCTTTCTCTACTGGAGTGGACAGCCAATAGGAAACGTGCAAGCATGGTACTGCAAGTGCATTGCTTGGATGGTGAGTAGATGAACAGTGTGACCAGACTTAACCCTTGCCTTTGCTTATTGTGGTCTGTATCAAATTGATTGCCTGACTGGGCTCCACTGTCCTAAGGTTTTAACCCTTTCCTTCCTGATTTGTGCTATTATGTTTCCAGTGCCTCAGAAATAAAATAAGATTAGATCACTTGATTGGCCGTATACAATTTCTTGCGTTAGGAATTTGTCTTTTCGCATACCCCAGCTTGCTTTCTGTGAGACACACAGGAACACAGACGGGGAGAGAGAAGCTGAAAGGGCCAAGCTCAGGGGGTCAATGGAGTTGGATTCTTCTGCCTCAAATAACCTTTGAGACTTACTTAATTGTCCCAGATGGGTACTTTGCTTTATAGGCAGGTAGAGACATAATGCAATCCATTTAAGAGACATAACACATTATACAATACAATTAACACACAATACATTTATCAGCTGTATAATAAGAAAGAAAATCAATATAAAGTGAATGTACAGTCAGTTGTCCCAGTTGTCCCAACCTGTGTTGATAGTGGTGGGAATAAAAGACGACTCAGGTCTCTTCCTCTAGAATCTAGGCAGTCTAAATTGAAAGAGTTCAAATTCACGGTGCAAGGGGTGGTCCTGACAGTCAATGATTATATTGGCCCTCTGCACTATGTGCTTGACATAGATGTCTGAAAGCTGTAGCTGTTGTACACCAATACTTTACTGGCTACCTTCACTATCCTGCTGAGTCTGTTTTTTATTACGTGTATTAAGGCTACCAAATCAGGCTACCACAGTGACTGTTAGGACAGATTCAATGAAAGTTCTACAGAATAAAGTCCTTGTTGTAGTACACACATTAAAACAGTGGAGTTTTCATTGGAAGAACAATCACTGTTTGCTCCAGTAGGTGCTCTACCTGGTGGAGAACATGCCTTTTAACAATAACTAGAGAGGTCAATACCACTGGTGTGAAAGTGCTTATTGTCTTGGGGCATTTGTTTTTTGTAACTTGTGTGATTATTAAGGAACAAGTAAAGGTTTATTCAAAAGTTTTATTCCACCTGAAGGTGACACCTGAAGAAGGCTCCACAGTCTAAATGTTGTATTTCTTTTCTAATGCAAAATTCAGTTTTTTTCTTTGATCTGTGTGATCACCAGCTGCCTGTGTGCAGAATCCTCCATGTGGCAAGGCTCTGCTGGCAGAGCATCACTGCCTCAGGCTTGGGGCTATTCAGCCAGGGCTCTCACGCTCTCACAAGCTACCAGCCGCTCCTCTGGCTTGCCAGGCCTGCAGTGACATCATTGTGAGATGCTTTGCTCCTCCAATGGGTTGTCACTCTCCTGTCAGGCACTGTGGAGCTCACAGCACGTCAGATGATAAATGCTTGCAGGTGCTGGAATCATTGCCAGAAAGATGATTATAAAGAAACAGCTGGCTTTTCCAAATTTGTGACAAAAATGGTCATTCCAAAAATTTGGTCATTCCGAATTTAAAAAACAAAAGCTTTAAAAGCTTGATACTTCATATAGTGTGATTTATGTTATTTGACATCCTGCGCACTTATGAAATGGCATTTTAGTCAGGTATATTGTTTTACAGCACATCAATTTTGATTTTGTAATAGAAGTGCTTTTTGTGAAGAGCATGTTCTCACGATTCGGACACGAATGAGTAGAGGAGCCTGGGGATTTTTCAAGTAGACAGCGTCCTTCTACAAGCACCTCCTCTGCCCAATACAGAGTCAGTCACCTGAGGTCAGAATCATTCTCTCTGAAAGCAAGAATCATGATGTCAGGTGGAGAGAATGCATTTGTTATACGCTTGTTCCGTGCAGAAGCCTTTTAATTATACATGCAGTATATGTAGCTGGTGGTTTTAAATTTTATACGGTCAGGACACCTTGAACAAACAATCATCACATGAATGGCAATTGGAGAAATCAATAGCCCTTTTTAATGACTCAACTGCTCAATTAAGCAAGACTGTGATTGAAAGTAGATTCTCTTGGCACCCTTGTAGTCTTCTCTATATATAACTGATTGTTTATAGCTGTTACTATGAGACAAGTTTCACTGCTTGCCAGAAGAGCATCTCCTGTTTTCTCCCATTTCCTTCTGTCAGGAGACCAAGATGTTAGTTTTGCCTCTGTGGAAAGTTTAGAGAGGATTAGATCGATATCTGATCCTTGTTGAAGTGTGCCACTAAGTCATTTGACAAATGGGAAATCGGAAGGCTAATTTTCTTTACCCCTGCTGGAATAAAACAGTGGAGGACTCACTTACAGCAGAGTTAAGCACTTCATGTCCCAGAGTCATCTTTCTAGTTTTTCGCTAATTTCTGATTGCTAATGTTTTATTTATTTGGTAATTGTATCCCCACTTTGCCAGTTTTTACTGGAAACATTCAACACATTCCAGCTGGGTGTGTCTGTTACTGCTTTGTGCCACTGCTGTCTGTGTGTGCTTGCAATTCATACTTACTAGGCATGCTCTCATATTTGTTTTGTTTTTTTGCAGCACCTGTTATAAATTTGGAATCAGTACAACAATCTTTTCATAATTCTGTTGTACTTTCTCTTAACTTGAAAATCTGTTGTCTCCTTTTCCACCTCTACTTAACATTGAGCCTTAAATCATTTAGGACATCTGCCAAAAAGATCATACTTTTTAGTATTTGAAGCACTTTCCCAGTAAAGTCAGTTTGCAGCTAAACTATTCGTAGAGCTTAAAAAAAACTAAGTTTAGCTGCTATGTGGTTGATAAAAATTACATATACAGTATCTCAGGTTCTTTCATTTTTCCAGATCCCAGACCAGGTAAGTACTGTACAACATCAGTCCTGGATAGTCTGGTGGTTTTCAGCTTTGCATAGGAGTTGCATTGCATAGGAGTTCTTGTTATTCTGCAGGATTCATTTGTAGTTCATAGAGACCGATAGATCCTGTGCCCAGGCGTACACCCGGGACTGGATTTTCTCATCCGTGGCAAAAAATGTTTGGCTTCAGAGCTCTCCACTCTTCTCCAGGCGAATCCTTCCTGTGTCCTGTTCACTCCTGGACCACTGGAGAGGAGCTGGCAGGAGACGTGTTGCGCCACAGGTAAGGCCTGACTTTCCACAGGCTCTTCAGCCCTCCTCTGAAAAACGTCACGGGATTAATAGTCTCATCTTGAGAGCCAGGGGGCATTCGTCCCATGTTTACCTGCTGAAGGTTTGGCACTGTGAGACTGAAAGGAGTTGAGGGCATTTTTAAAACTTGCTGTAGGAATAAATGAGAACTCTGAAACTGAAACAGGGAGTAGGATAAGATAAGACCACTTTATTGGCCTTATACAATTTCTTGTATTATGAATTTGCCCCCATCCTGCTCTCCATGAGACACACAGGCAGGGTGAGAGAAGCTTGGGGTCAGAGCACAGGGTCAGCCATTTATACGGCACCCCTGGAGCAGTTGGGGTTAAGGGGCTTGCTCAGGGGCCCAACAGAGTAGGATTCCTCTGCCGGCTGCAGGATTTGAACCGGCAACCTTCTAGTCACAGGCACAGATCCTTAGCCACAGTGCCACCGCCTCGACTCTCATGAGTAGAGAAACATGGTCAAATCTGATGCAGGGGAAGAACATTAATGCCAGCCCATTTGAAAGTGCTGAAAGACCTAAGCCATTGACCTGGAGTTTTGTGCCACATCAGTGTAGCAGTCCTCTTTGGACTCTCTTGTCCCAGCTGGTGCTTTGCTGCTCCGCCTGCAGGGGTGTGACAGAGGGCTGGAGGGGCTGCTCCATTTCCATGAAGGACCAGAGCCAGTGGGTGGAGCTGGCAGGACACGATTACGTGATGGATCTCATCTCCGACCTGGAGTTGATCCCAGACTTCCCCAAGCAGAAATCCTACTTCCTCATCTCCTCCGAAGGTCCAGCCAGAGTCAGGCCCAATGCCAATGTGTAGGTGATGCAGTGCATTGTTCAGCAACACTGATAGTGTTTTCTTTTTTTTTGCAAAAGAAGTGTACAGTATGTTGTGAGAAAACAGCAAAAAAAAGCACACAGTAGAGAGAAGACCACAAAGATAGAAGTGCAATCAATTCAATCTGTAGTATATTATGACCAATTTCTTGCAATTAAAATTCATAGATCTTAAAGAAATTTGAACTTCAACAAGGCCTGGAGTCAGTCAAAAGTTCGATTCAGCAGCCAACTGCAAATTCATTTCCCCATAATTTATGGCCAAGATGCCTAAAGAATGAAAGGCAAATCCAGTAACTGCACTGGAAAAAAACTATTCCAGGTAGATTTTTCTATGAAGGTGTAAAATATGTGAATTTAAGAGCAGCTGTGGCTACTTCAGGGAATTTCAATCTAGTAAAAAAATCACAATGTGTCTTTGTTGGGGAGTTGGGGACACCTGTAAATTTAGACATGGAATCCAAAAAGAGACATGGTATCCTGTGATCTAGAAGTAACACATTTCCAAAGGTTTCGCAAGGATGAGAGTTTAATTTCCTTTACAAATGCAAGCTACTGTATATAAGCAATACTTTTCCACCTGAAGGGAATCAGTCCTTAACTAGTGACCATCTTTTGCGAGAACCTACTGTAGCAAGGCGTGGTCTGAGGAAATAACTTGGAACAGGGTTCAGGATGTCTATGTCCTTGTTTCGGCAGCAGCGTGTTTGGGAATGGATTTGAATCTGACGAGGACAGCCCTGTCCCTCATGCCACGCGGTCCCCGGGCCTGCCAGCTTCCAGCCTGCCCGACTCCGATGGGTATCACAGCCACGGTGAGCAGAAAATGCAGGAGTGCCCACCGGCTCTGTCCAGAATCAACCAGAACAAAAAGGGCCCAAAGAGAAGCTCTAGTCCTTGAGTAACGATAGGGGGCTGTTTGTTACTGTTGTAACAAATGTGAGAGGGATTTCACAGGAATGGAAAAAAAATTGCATTATTTCTGCCCAGGTGACTTAATTTCCTTCTGTGTTTATTCAGCAGCTCTGAGGCTGTGTTGTCATGTTGTTGGCTGGGTTGTCTGATATGGCCAGCAGCCATATCACTCTGCAACTCACAATTGGCAACCCACTGAAGCTGGTGTGAGCCTGGTCAGTACCTGGATGG